AGAGTCACCATTTCTGTGTAGGTTAAGAGAGGTGCTAATGAACACCATCTAATGTTGGACATAAGTAAGAGGGTGCTACTGCACTCAGCTACTATTTGTAGGCTTCCTAGAAGCATCAGGTTGGCTCAGTGGACTAGACAGTCATTCCTCTCGTGCGATTCAACAGGTTTCTTATATGAACTTGATTCTGAAGGTGTTCCAGAAACACCAGTTATTCACAGAATACGGAGTTGGCTCTCTTGATGGGAACAGATCCATTTTGCCAACTTTCCAGGCCATATACAAAGTGCTGGTGATTGCTGTTTGAATTCTCCAGGGTCTGGAGCCTCAACCAAACACATCCTGCACAAAAATAGAGAAAGGTCCCTTTTTTGGACTATATATTTCAGAATTGTAGAATAGCCACAGTACTCCCTGCTCCTTCAGAGCTGTTGTTGACATGTGTCCTGCCTCTTCTTTTACAAATCTGTGATCTTAAAGCCACAGAATTGTGTTCTTGTTACGGGTTTTTCGGGCTCTTTGACCATGTTCTTGGACAGAGTTCCTACTCCAGTCCTCTGAAGATGCCGGCCACAGAGACTGGTGAAACTTTAGGAAGAAAAACCTTCAGAACACAGCCAAAGAGCCTGAAAAACTTACAATAACCATTAGATCCTGGCTGTGAAAGCCTTCGCAAATACATATTCTCCAACAGTTCAGAGATTAAAAGTTGGACACCGTAGTGCATGAGTAGATGGGGACAGCGGGAATAGTCTTACCGTCCATTGCATGGCAGAGAATAATGAGCCAACTCAAATGTCACACAGCTGGAAAGCAAGAAATAAAAGTTGCAGATTACTCTTGATTAATGGTTCTCAACTTTGGGTAACCCAGGTCTTCTTGGACTGCAACTGCCAGAAACATCAGGCAGCACAGCTAATAGTGAAGGCTTCTGAGAGTTAACAGTCTAAGAACACCTGGGTTACCCAAGGTTGGGGACCACTTCTCTAAAAGGCAAGTGCAAATTTAAGTCTGTATCAGGTCTTCACAGTACCACTCACATTCAGTGCTATCCAGTTTCTCTTCAGTCATGATTTTTTTAAAAAAATCAACTTCACCATCACTATGATTTCTGAAAATATACAAATATTTCCATTCTTCTGCATGCCACTTTCTCTATTATTTGTGTTTTTAAGTTGCAGAACACATTCTGAGATGTGTGTAATCCATTGGCTTTTCTGATCCTTACATTAGCAAATAGGAAGGAACTAAAGTACTTCTCTGTCCCCACTTGGAGTCAAGCTGGTTTTATTTTGCTTTTTCTTGGTTTTGCCTTTGGCTTGAATTCCATCTTAGAAGTCTTAATTTTTTTTCTTCTTGGTCTTGTATGTTTCTGGTGCTCTTCCAATGCTTTACTAATTGCATCTCTGGCTTCTGTCCAATTGGCTTCTGAGGATTTAAGTGGCTTGTGACTGCTTTTGTTTAATTATTTTTAATTTGTGAAGTGCTTTGAATATTATGATGATAGAGTGTGATAAATAAATAAGCAAGCGTACAGGAACATCACTCAGAGAGAAGAGGGGAACGGGTAGAGATCAGTGCCATGTATTAATTTAGCTGCAATTGAAAGTATTCCACATGTAACTTGTGGTGTGGATAACACCATTGTATGGTTTAAATGTGATGGACATCTCCCATTGGTCCAGGGACTACAACCATGCTATTTTCATATGCGCACTGGATCCTACTGACCCACTCACCCCCTTTTCCAAACTCAGAAATGATTGGGAGGGCATTTCCAGTTTTCATAAAAGTCTGAATCTTCAGAAAGATTCAGATCCAAAAATGGTACAGGGCACAGGGGAGTTGACAGTTACCAAACCTGGTTTAGTCAGTAGATGTTAATGGTTGTATCAGGGTGCCATCAAGACCTTCCCATAGTTGTTCCTTCTGGAGAAGGACCGTGAAGTTTTTATCTAGCTTCTGTACTGGAGTATTCCCTGAACTTTCCATGACACTGGGTCACGTAACTTCACATTTACTACCAATATTTGGTCAAGTGACTACATGTTGTATTACTTACTCGTATTAATTCTGTAACAATGGGATTGAGCTCAATTTGCTTTCTCCAAAGAGACTGGCTGCACTTGTTCCAGGCGTACTCTGTGCCAAGCATATAAACACACAATTGAGTAGATTGTATTGACAGTCTGTTGGCTTTTCTTGGTGTATTTTTTTAAAAGAAGATTTGAAGGGGGTCCAGAAAACACATACACACCATCCTGTGGGAATGGAGATGGTTCTCTTGGCTCTGACACTGCAAATGATTACAGCTGAGCATACAGTTTAATGAGATTCTCATTTTCCCTCACATATCAGTTGAAATCCTCTTATGCAACTCCACGGTTTTAAATACTGATGACATCAACGCTGCTAATGTTAATCTTGATTTAACATTTCCTATATCCCCATTTTAGGTTCCGAGACTCTCTAGTGATCCTTTTGGACCCGGGGAAGCATTTGGAATTCTTCAGACTTGGAGGTGAAGCCTTTAATATCCAGCAGTCACCACTGCCAGCCTCATCTTCTGAGAGAGAGAGACTGGCAGGGATGATTTTTAGAGATTAAAGGCTCCTCTCCTCCCCATATCCTGAGGTTCCCAAATGGAGCTCCAGATCTAAAGGGATCCCTAGGCATCCCCAGAAGCTTGGTGGAGGGAAAAGATAGGAAAGTTTAAATTAAGATTAACGGGGTGGCTAATGATGTGAGCAACATTTACAACAACACAACTCCCATCAACAGGGTCCCTTCCCTAGACTGGCATCTGCTAAGGATAGCTGACACACATTTGTGTCAGGTGAATATGTAAGCAAACCACATTTGCTGATTTTTTTTAAAAAAAAAATCCAGATTTCTACTTGTGATCAGTCTTTATAATGCTCTCTGTGTTGTTGTTGTTGTTGTTTTTTAACGCACCTTTCTTTTACAGTTCTATATAAACTGCAGGAAGCCCTGAAAGAGCTGATTATATATTTTTATATTTCAGTCTTGGGCCAATGATGGTTTTCACTGTTTTACTGTGCAGTATTGTTTTATTCTTCAGTCATATAATCCACACAAAGAACTTCTGTTATGAGGTGGACTAAAAGTATAATGTACTGTATAAAGAGATGAACAAACATAGCTTTACAAACCACTTTGGTTTTTTGTTTCAGTTGAAGTGTCCCTCTGTGCTTCTCTGTTTTTGTTCCCCACATCTCTGCATGTCCATCTCTTTTTAATGCACTCACAGGCACATTGCACAAAGGCGCGGAGGAAACAGAGAAAGTGGAGGAGGAGAAGACAGGATTAACAGACAAAGAAAACAAGACGGGGGAGAACAGAGAGGGCAAGAAGGGAGAAGGAATGAGAAATAAAATGTGTCTACATTTGTGCATGTGATATGGAAAAACAAAAATTAATTTATCCAAACAAACTGCACCAGAGCACAGACAGAGTTCTGACTCCAGTCCTCTGAAGATGCCAGCCACAGAGACTGGCGAAACGTTAGGAAGAACGACCTTCAGAACACGGCCAAACAGCCCAAAAACCTCACAACAAACAACAAAAATTAATGTGTTAAAAGCAAAGTGTGCTGCCCCATAGCACTTAAAGCACTCTCTAGGTGATTTACAAAACAATCATGCAGGCAAAATAATGTATTTTTTAGTGTATAAGACGCCCCCACTTTTCTAACTCAAAATTTCTTTCATTGCAAGAAAGTGGAGGGGAAAGGCAGGAACCCAAGTACTTTTCTAACTCAAAATTTCTTTCATTGCCAGAAACTGGAGGGGAACGGCAGGAACCAAAGCGCTTCCTGTTTTCCCCCTACACTTTCATTGCAAAAAGTGTAGGGGGGAAGTAGCTTTTTGCAACAAAAGTATAGGGGGAAAGCAGGAATCACTTTTCCCCTACACTTTCTTTGCAAATCATGGAAGGGGAAAGCAGGGATCAAAGCGCTTTGATCCCTGACCCCTCCTTACTTCCGTATAAACGACCCTCAATTTTTCTTCTAATTATTTTAAGAAAATGTCAATTTTCAAGGAAAAATACAGTATTGTCCCCCAGCCCACCCCATGAACTGAATATTCAATTTACCATCTCCAAAGGCTGAGTCAACCTTGAGCTGGCTACATAAACCTGTTCGATTGTACTCAGGTCGTGAGCGTGAATATTCAATTTACCATCTCCAAAGGCTTGAGCTGGCTACATAAACCTGTTTGATTGTACTCAGGTCATGAGCAGAAGCTTTACTACAGTACTGCAGTTTAATCACTGTACCACAGGGCTTCTTTTAAAAAGCCCATTTCCTGTTGGCGTTATTACAACCTCAAATGCTGCCTTCTAGCTTGTTTGATGGGAGGGACTGTTATCTGCCAATATTAACCAACAGTTCACCCCATGTCAAAATTCGAGGACAGCCCTACCTCTCTGCTGAAAGTTCTTTTTCCTTAGAGAATCTATCAATGTCCATTGATGGAGGCTGGTTAAAAAAATCTGTAAAAGTAAACTGAAGCAGAGTTGTTTAAAAGCAATCATGTTGTTAATTAGCTTACTGTTGATATGTTCACAGTTGTAACTAAAATGGAATAATTTTATTTATACTATCAATGTCTCAGGATGAGTCATTGAGACTGTAAGTGCCAGTTAAGGAGAGAGAGGTGGATTGTCTAGAAATTAGTCACTATTCTAAGGAAGGATAACCACAAAATTTCATAACTCTGCAACATTTCTCACAAAAGATGCTCGAGGCAACAGGCAGTAAAGTAGTAGAGTTCTTTCATGGAAATCTGCTTTCCTCAAAAATATATATACTTACAGAGAGGGTATCAGAAGCATAATAAAGAAAACTATTAGAATATTATTCTAATAAAGAATTGCAATTCTTCACTGTGGTTATTTAACAGAATATGCTGATGTGATTTTGCATATACTTGTTAAGTCTAGAGGTAGTGCAGCCAACCTTTTTCTTTTGCTTCCAGGTCCACCTGGACCCCCAGGAGTTGTGATTGTTGAGGAGATCACAGAGACCACAGCCACACTTTCCTGGACTCCTGGAGCAGACAATCACAGCCCTATCACTTCCTACAACCTCCAAGCCCGAAGTCCATTTTCACTTGGCTGGCAGACTGTGAAAACTGGTGAGAGGGTGTTTTGGGTTTTGTTTGTTTGTTTGTTTTGTGTTTGTTTTAAATAGACACCGAAACCCAGAGCTCAGAAAAGTTATTTTTTGAGACTGCAACTCCCTGCATTTCCCCACTGGTATGACCATGTATGCTGAGAGAATTCTGAATATTGTCGAGCAAAAGCAACTTTTCCAAGAGACAAAGTCTGGGGGTCAGATTTCATGTATAAATGTTTTTCAACTGAGGAGAGGACCCTGTTAGCAAAAGGACATGCCCTTTAGAAGGAGTTTTTGTCTGACCCTAATCTCCTTTTGCTCGTACATTTTTCTGTAAAGATTGCTTTGGAAGCTTCTGGAACATACAATAGGACCTCTGTATCTGCCAGTGATTTGTTCCAAGCCCCCCCCCTCCCGAGCTTCCTCTAGTGGCCAGTTCTGTAAATAAATTATGACAATACATATTTCTAGTACAGTATTTTTATTTTCATATTTTTAATATTTTCAGACTGTGGATAAGTGAAACCATAGAGTTTATTGTTGATATATTCACAGTTGTAAGTAAAATAGAGTAATTTTATTTATCCTATCAACGTCTAGGACATGCCCTTTAGAAGGAGTTTTTGTCTGACCCTAATCTCCTATTGCTCGTACAGTTTTCTGTAAAGATTGCTTTGGAAGCTTCTGGAACATACCATAGGACCTCTGTATCTGCCAGTGATTTGTTCCAAGCCCCCCCAGAGCGTCCTCTAGTGGCCAGTTCTGTAAATAAATTATGACAATACATATTTCTAGTACAGTATTTTAATTTTCTTATTTTTAATATTTTCGGACCGTGGATAAGTGAAACCATAGATACTGATCTCATGGATACCTACTGTACTTCTCATGCATTGAAGTGTGTCACAGGCAACTAATAACAAAATCCTTCTTAGAGGTCCTACTGTGTTGCTGGACTGCTTCTCCTAGAATTTCTCAGTCAGCATAACCACTGTTTCGCACATCCTTAATTGCCCCAATGACTCTTCAATGGATTCCTCCCATGTCTGTTCACTACCTTCGGAGAGAATTGTTTGCAGATTACATGGTTTTAAGGAGTTATTCCAATTTCTTCACAGTTCCAGAAAACATCAGTGGTGACATGGAGTCTGCCATGGCTGTCGAACTCAACCCGTGGGTGGAATATGAATTTAGAGTGGTCGCAACGAACAAAATTGGGACTGGAGATCCAAGTGCACCATCTAGAGTGATCCGAACCAAGGAAGCAGGTGACAAGAACTTTGAAATTACTTTATCTGTCCCCCTCCTTCCTCTTTCTCTGTCTCTCTCTCTTTGGAAAGGAGATGGGAGATATGAACAGCACTGATTTGTGTACCCAATGTTGAACCTGAAGCACATGGGGAAAACAGGGATGCATGGCATGGCCTGCAGCCACCATCCTGCTCCATCTTAGCCCTGACGTATAATGACTGTGTGTCATCGCCTCATGAGACTGGCACCAGTAATGCCTCCTTGGGAGAAGAAGCTATAGTGTACAGGTCATGTGATCCAAAGTCATGAGCGCCACCCTCCTTTCCCCCAATTTTATTGCTGCTGAGGGAAGGGGCTGGTCTCACACTGCTTGCCAGGCTAGAAAGAGGCGAGCAGTCATACGACTGCCCTTGTGAACGGCCCATCAGCAGAGGAAGCCACAGGGGATCAAGGAATGTTGTGAGACCTCCTCCAGTAAGGAGTGGTCTGTCTCCTCACCTTCCTCGCAACAGCTCCCTCTAGTGTAGGTTATTGGGAGTGCAGTTCTCTCTCCCACACATAGACACAGAAACTCACATAGCATACCTGGGGAGAAAAGGTTTTGTTGTTGTTGTTGTTGGGTTTGGTTTTTTGTTTTTTGCCATAGGAGCCAGATTCCTAAGCGTTGGTAGCTTCGGTGTCCAACCATCTCGTCCTCTGTCATCCCCTTCTCTTCTTGCCCTCACACTTTCCCAACATTGGGGTCTTTCACTGGAGCCTCAGCTTCGGGATCTGTCCTTCCAGTGAGCACTCAGGGTTGATTTCCTTCAGAATTGATAGGTTTGTTCTCCTTGCAAAGCTATAAAATTATATATATATAATTTAATTGGGTGGTAATATATATAATTTTATATATACTGTACATATATTACTACAATTGGGTGGCTGTGGATTCTGGAGTTGTAGTATAAAAAGAACAATGTCTCCAAGCTTTTATCTGAATCCAGTCAATTCTAAATGTAATTGAGGTCTCCTACTTCATCCTTTCGGCAACATTCTGCATTTGCTGAAATACCACACTAGAACTGTTAACAGATTTAACAGACAATACAAACCCATGCTGAAGTTCTGAGTTTCCAGTGGCAACTACAGCAAAGTATTGTAGTATGTAATGCGGCTGTTTAGCTAAGGTAATGTTTATAATTTCTGGTTTCTCCGAAAGCTAATTAGAGTTCGGTGTGTACAAAACAAGCTGTTTTAGGGTCCACCCTGCTTCTGCCCCCCCCCAGCAAAGATTTTGCAGTATTTATGGAAGTGTTCTTGTGCTTGATGGTGCCATATCAGTCCCACGGGGGCTACTACATATAGAATTGAGCTTGTTATTAATCTGATTTATATGAATCTAGCAAATCCCAGGTGTTAGGAACTGAAATAGTGCTTGTGGTTTAAGCAAGGATGAAATCTGTGCGCAATTGTGAATTATCAGTACCATCTTTCTACTGCACTATTAGAAACTTCTCCCTACCTTGCCCAATCATCACCACCATCATCATCATCATCATCATCCTCATCCTCATCCTCATCCTCATCCTCATCCTCATCATCATCAATCATGTGCCATCAAGTAAATTCTAATGTTTAGTGACTTTTTTTAGGGTTTTCAAGGTAGGCATCCTCATATTGTGCAGCTTGCCCAAGACCACACAGACTGGCTGTATTCCCAGGAGACCCAATGGGGAATCGAGCTCCCAACCTCTGGCTCTGCAGCCATATGCCTAAACCACTGAGCTATCCAGGCAACTCCTCCCACCCCACCCCACGTCTAGTACTGTACCGTCGAAATAGGTCTGTTGACCATAGTGAATGGGTAGGGCTCAAATTTAGGGCCAACCCTACAATTCAGTATATTGAGACAACTGCCTCAGACTGCCTGCATTAGGTATCACTAAAGTACAGAACATTGCTTGGGATTAAATTTGTTGTTATTATTGAATTTTTACTGTCAAGGTTTGAGAAAAATGATTGTGGGATTCTCTATGTCCTATGCTAAGTTAACATGGATGTGCTTGACTACTATGCAATTTGACTTGGAGTGCCATTTGCTGTTTCACCCTAGACATGAAATTACCTTACACAGGTCCTCACAGGTTTCATCACTGCTTTATGGATTTTTAAAAGGGGGATTTTTTTATTTTTTATTTTTTGCTTTCTGTATTTTTCCTTTGTTTGTTTTAATTGTTTTATGGCTTATATATTGTTTTAATTTAACGTGTTAGTTGTATCCTGAGAGTCTGTGAAGGGTTGAAAAGCAGAATATAAATATTTTAATTAGAAAATAAGTGAAATAGTTTCTGGTTTAAGAGGTTTCTAACTAATGTATATCTCCCCAAGCGAGCCTGGTAGATCACATAGAGCCTGTTTTAAATGTGTTTCTAACATAGATGGCTTCCAAGTAATACATAATGGCTTTAATAAATTTATAATAGATTTTAACCGTTGGTCTCATTCAATTAGCTCTACTCTGGTTCCTAGACAATTATGCACCTGATGCATTAAAATGCAGCACCATACTTGTTCTCTGGCTTAATGGTGTGACATATTAACAAGGCTTTAGTCACTAAGGGCTGTTTTTTACAATGTACCTGCCATGTAGAAAACAGCAGAATTGCTTCTGTGTGCAGAAAATTTCCAAATGGGAAAAACACTCAATGCAGCGTGCTTGCTTTCTGGGGCCCATTTTAAATTGCATTATTTCCCCCCTTAAATTATGTGTGTTAATTATAAAAGTACACTTAATAATTACATTATATTGTTTTATTTTTACAGCTACATTACTGTTTTAATCTATTATTTAGTTGTGTACATGGTGTTTTCTATCACATTTCTGTCCCAGAAAGTAGTCTGAAGGCACTGGGTTCTCCTGTTGCTGATGTGAAGCAGACTGAGTACTGAATATGTATGGAAAATTATGTGAGCTCTTTAAAACAAGGCTGAGGAAAATGTGTCCCTCCAGATATTGTCAGCCTGCATATCCCATAAACCAGGGGTCCCCAACCCCAGGTCTGTAGCCCGTACTGGGCCATGGCCTTGGAAGGACCAGACCGCGGAGACAGCTCTCCTGCCTTCCCACATGCACAGATGCACGCCCCCCACATGCATACATGAATGCATGCATGCACACAACCCCCATATATACACACCCCATGCATATATGGACACATGCATGCCCCCTGCATGCACACACAGATGCCCCCTGTGCACATCTCACCCTCCATGCACACACAGACCTACTTCCACATACATACATACATGCACACACAGGCACTCCCCCCCTCATGCATGCTAAACCGATCCACTATGCCAAAAAGGTTGGGGACCACCTTGTAACCAGCTGGTTTCTCTGTAGAAGTGCAGGGATTAAAGAGCAGAATAGCTTTAAGTTCTTCAGAGGAATCCACTCCTTTTGTGAGAGGATGGGTTTGGGGAACAGCAAACCAACAACATTTGAGGGACACAAGATCCTTATCCCTATTTTAAAGAGCTGACAAAGCTTTGCATACAGGACTGAAAAGCGGTGAGCAGGGCAACTGCATGGGGAAAGCCATAACTGGAATCCCCAACTACCCCATGAGGTTGCACGATGTTTTTATATAAAGCAGAGCTGTGATTTACTGAGTCAGGTCGCAAATTTTGCCCCCATCAAGGTCATTCCAATGGTTATACTCACTGCTGGAGCTGCAGTGTGTGGGAACCGGAGAGAAAAGAGACTAGAAATTTCTGGCATCCCACTTCTCACTTTTGAAAACATTGTACATTTTTCAGTGTGTATTTGCAAAATATATTTCCACTCTTGGAGGCTTCTAGTAGCATCAGTTTACCTATTCTAGGTGTGGAAAAACATTTCTGGTGGCCATTTTTGGTACGGAAGTCTGATGGCGCTGGGACGGGGCTTGACATCAATCAAAGCAACAGCCTGCAGCCCTGCACCCACCTCGATAATAAACCATGATGAATTTTTCTCTTTTTAAAAATCAATTTCCTAATGACTTCTGGGCCTTTCTGTGGCTACCATATACTAGGTCAAAGTTTTCCTTGAACTATTTGTTGCAAAGTTTTAAATTTTGATAAAATGCCCCTAGCTGTGCAGTAGAAGTGCAGGGATTAAAGAGCAGAATAGTTTTAAGTTCTTCAGAGGAGTCCACTCCTTTTTCTCATCACCTGGTACTTACAAGCTCAATAAATCACTTTGAGATATGAAGTATTTTGTAAATTGGTTAGGGCTGCCCTGCCCCTGCCTTGACTTTGTGCTGGCACAGAGGCCATATCCCTGGTTTGGATCTGATATAAATTCTCCCATGCTTCTCCTCATCTCGTCCTCCTCCCCTTTTTGCTTCTTTTGCCAGATTATCTCAGGCAGTGCAGAAGTTGTGCTGACCGACATAGTTGAGCTGGCATATAGGAGAAGGCCAGGTGCACCAGCCGAAATGTCGCCCTTCTGGCATGGCAGGTTTCTGCCCATTCCAAGCTCTCACTACAGTCAGCATATCGTTGAGTTTAGATCTGTTTATAGGGAAACGATTTGTAGTTAACCGCACGTTGAACTCTTGCTGAGAAAGATCTTAAGCTCCCTCACACTGCATTAAACCCTTTTTGACTAGTATCCCTGTGGCTTAAAACTCTTTCTTGGCCTGCCACTGCCCGCATCCCTTTCTAGCAACTGTTTTCAGGCGGAATCGGTCGGGAGAGCCAAAGCACAGCCACTTAAAGTAAAATAAATAAATAAATGTGTTCAAATGACACCTGAAAGTTATCCGGAGTTTGAGCCTCTGTTTGCTTTCCAACAAAAGGAACGAGCACCATACTTTGCTCCGTTACAGTCTTATGGGAAAGAAGGCAAACAACATTAAAAATGCATGAGTCCCTTCACCAATGGATGTGTTTGCAAAAGCTTTTACTACACACCTCATGATGTCAATGGCTCTTTGGCGCCGTACGTACACAGTCGATCAAATGCTGAGAGTCTCGCTCTCCCTCTGTG